ATGAAACAGAGGATGAAAGCCTTGCAGAGGGAGACTGAAAGCGCCTTCCCAGGGGCCCCGTTTTTCTAGAGGCCTGACATTCAGTGTAATCTGGTACATTCCAACCTCCTCCCCGCGAAATTGCTCTTCAGAGATTTTTTTTTATGATCCCCACTGATACAAATCATAGTGAGCTGGTATGATTTAGCTGTACCCAAAGAAGGGTTGACTGCTGCTAGAGAACAGGCAACCAGCCCCAAACCTCCCTTCAATCTGGCAGTGAAATTAGACAAGGGTTTTTTGGAAACTCCCTTCAGCCTGCCACTGGAGCCTAGAATGAGAAAGGGAAATACATCAACACATGCAAACTCCTCAGGGCATGCAAGGTCATGTGCGTGCAAACACACCCTATAACTCTTAGGTAGGGCTAGAACCCATTCAGGTTCTATGTATTAAAATATCTAAAATAGCATAGTTCTATGTTCTGAGCTTCCAGAAACTTTGGGTTATTTTCCTGATTTTGCCATGGGCTTTCAGGGTAACTTTGTCCAAGTTTCTTCCTCTCTGTATCCCTACTACTAGGTCAAGTAGGAATATAATGATATTTCCCTGTTTGGTGAAGTGCTTTGATATTTACTGATAAAAAAATACTCTAAGACCTCATTATTTTTAACTATGTTCTATCACTTTTAAAACATTTCTTAGTGTCAATATGTGGAAGCTACTCATAGGATCAGAACTCACAAGTGTGAGCTCTCAGCACCCTGCTGTGCCAACCCTCCTCTCCCCCCCGGCCCCGCAATGCTTAGATTTCTCTACAGAAATCATAGAAGTTAGAAGTAGCAGAGAAAGTACCCAACCCACCTCTCCTGGCCCTATGGCCTCTGCAGAGTTTCATAGTTTCATAGTTTCTAGGGTCGGAAGGGACCTGGGCAGATCATCTAGTCCGCCCCCCTGCCATGGCAGGAGGCAGAAAGCAGGTCAGGAGGGCACCTTGAACACTAACTGGCTCAGAGAGTCATACGCTTTTGCATATGACAACTTTGTCAGATGCTATGAATGGAATAGCAGAGTCCTATTTAGGGGTACTAACTAGAAGAGAATTAAAATATCAAGGTCTCAACAGAAACTACAAATTCTTATCTCATTATTTGGGCTAGCTTTTATAACCCCTATGGGAGTGAATTGCCTTGTCTCTATTGACCTACTCAGCCTACCTTTGTCTCTCAGCAGCACCCTGTCCCCCATCCTTCATATTTTTATTCCTTTAAGTTGAACCACTCGACTGGAGGAAATCGCTCTGTCTGTCTGACTGGTTATGTACAAGTTTATGCTTTTAGAGCTCAAAACTATAGTGATTTTCCTTCCAGACCATTACCACAGACAGACAAAAAGATTAACTCCAGTTATTCAGTGGCTAATGTATACATCACACAAGAAAATATTCAGATTTAGTATGTGTTACAGAATAGAAAATCCAGGGTGGAATCTACTCTGTAGCTCAGTAGTTCTCAATCTCATTAGACTCAGAGCACTCTTCATTAGGCGTAAGTCACCCTAGAAAATTCCAGTCCTTAGTTTTCACCAATTTTTGACTACAGAAAAATTATAGAGCAATTCTTCTGTTCCAAAAAGCTCAGAAAGACTACAACAGGTCAGAATATTTTTGACATAATGGACTCCTCTGGGTTTATCATGTAAATCATGTTTGTAAACCTAACAGTGACTTCTTCCCTACAATTACACAGATTGTCTTAAAGTTTCAGATGACAGGATTTTTTGTCACTGCCCAAGAAACGATTCCTATGCCTGAGAAATCTCACTATCAGCATTACCTTCCCTTTTCTTTACACACAGCATCATTTCCCCTCTTCATTTTATCTGCTTTCTATTTTGTTAGTTTAGATAGGAGAATGGCCTATTTGGATAGGCAAAAAAAAAAAAAGGAATCAGGAAACCTGAGTTCTCTTTTGCTGACCAGCTGAGTAACCCCAGGCAAATCACTTCTCTCCATACCTCAGTTTCCCCTTCTGTAAGATGGAGTTGGTTATGCTGACCTCCTAAGGCAGGGGTGCTCAACCCCCAGCCCACAAGCCAGATCCAGCCCCAAGCACCAGGTCATACAGCACATGGGACTCCCCATGGGTCTGATTCCAGTGAATGGGGGCCAGGCAGGGACAGCACAGGGCCCCAGTTCCAGCATGTGCTGGTTGAGGGGCTCCAGGCCCCAATCCGGACATGCAAGGGCAATACAGAGCTCCAGGTTCTGATTTTATGGGATCAGGCAGGGGCAGTGCAGGGCCCTGATCCCAGTACAGGGGGCCTGATCACAGTAAATGGGGGTGCTGCAGGGCTCCGACCCCCTGATCCCTGTACACAGAGCTGGGTCAGGGCAGTGCAGGGCCTGATTCCAGCACATTAAGTCAGACAACTAGGGCTTCAGGGCCTGATCCCAGTGCACAGGGCCAGGTATAGGTGGCACAGAGCTCCAATTCGCATGAGGGGATGGCATGGGGTTTCAGGCCCCAACCCCAGCATGTGGGGCCAGGTGGGGCCGTGCAGGTCCCCAAGGCCTAATCCTGGCATGCAGCGGTAGTGCAGGGCTCAATCCTGGCATGTGGAGCCCAACCCAGCCCTCAGACCAGCTCTGTGCCACTCATCTGGCCCACAGACTCAAATGGTTGTGGTGTCACTGCCCTTGGAAAAGCACTTTGAGGTCCATGGAAGGAAAAAAGGGCTACACAAGAGCTAGGCAATGCTACTGCTTCCCTTTGAACCCCTACCCTAAATGACTCTCCTCTTTCCTCCACAGTTTCAATGCTGTAAAGCCCCAGGGCCTAACCCTCATCATCCCTTCCCATAGTTATTTAACTCTTTTAGTCTTCCCTTTGTAGATAGATACTAGAAAACTCTGTCACTGGTGGCCTTTAAGAGCAGGTCAGGCAAAACATCTGCTAGGGATGGTTTTGGGACAGTTAATCCCACCTTAGGACAAGGGAATGGATTAATGGTCTCTCAAGAGCTCTCCCAGTCCCATTTTCTATGGTTTTATGCCTCTAATGAATTAGCCCTTCCAACCAAAGAAGCATCTTGTTGCCTTACGCTGAACTTTCTCAGTCTTATCTTTATGACTGTAGTATTTAAGTTGCCTGGACTGAAGACTATATTTTACATGTGGTTGCTGCAGTATTAAATAAACAGAGAATTTACTACTAATTATTCTTCCATGTATGCAAACCAAACTCACACTGGCCTCTTGCACAGAATAATGCTTTGCTTCAGATACCCTGATAGAAGGCCATCTATAGGTGCCCTCCAGTATCTCCTACCACAGAAACCACCACATTTTAAAAGCAGGGTGCAGATGTAGCTAGGTAGGCCATGCATGTTCATATAGAGTTAAATAACCATGGATATTTGGAAGCCAACTGCATCTGTGGTTTCCTTATATTATTAATATTCTACAGAGGATAAAGAGAGAGGAAACTGCCATAACTAACTGAAAAATCATATCTAATTTCCTCTCTACTCTTGTCCCTAAGTTGTTTTCAGCATCATAACTGTTCTCTCTCCTATCACATGCTTGCAATTTAGATTATTTCCTTAAACAGAGCAGCTGCATATTTCCTAGTTACAATTCATTTTACCAACTTTTTTTCTGATATCCCTCCATTTTTTAAAAATTTTGCTAGGATTCATACCACCTCATTACAAATATTTCCTAAATTAAAAGCTATGAATCAAAGTAAAGCTGAAGAAGAGCATCAATCTTTGGATTCATTTCTCTTTTTTTATTTAAAACTCCAACAGACTTGTAGGTTGTCTTTGTCTATAAACAGGCTAGTTTTCCCGTCTATTCTTCATGAGGACTAAGGTGATGGCCAGTCTCTTACAACACTTAACCAAAGCGGAGTTCAAATTTCCCAGCAAAATGTATCCACTAGAGGGCAGTAAAAACCCAGAAAAGAAAACCCACAGCTGGAGGACTGCAACAGTCAACACAATAATAAAAAACCCTTTTTTAACATCTGATGACTCTGAAATATTGTCATCAACCTGCCACTGTTGTCTGCCACAATACCTCTTAAGTCCTCTTTTGTTTCCCAGAACTTGTGCTGTTGCTATGACCCCTTCCTGGTCACTAAGCATAACCATGATGTTGCAACAGCATAGAAGGACCATATTTTCTCACGTACAACATGGCACAGAATATAATATGTGCAGTTGCTCACTGTTCTGCTTCCTGCAAGTGCAGTGCAGGTTTTACTTTAACTCCCAATTGGCAGAAATTGTTCTTACCATATTTCTCATATATAATGCACATTAACATTTTCAGCAGCTGGTTTTGGTGGAAAAAATGTGTGTTATCTATGAGAAAGTGGCATTTCCAGCAGACAACAGGAAAACCTGAAGTTCTTCCTATTCTAAACCAAGTCAACATTAATCATTTGGCCAATATCCAACAGCCCAGGCCTTAAGAGAAGGTAGTCTACATGACACAACAATATCCCATTAGAAAGATCCAGTCACTTGGGACATGTAAAGGCAGACTACCCAAAATACTAGAGAGAGGTAGTTAGCCATATTAGTCTGAAGTCAGGGAGGAAGTAGGGTACCTTACAGACTAACTAAATTAGTACCTTATACACTAACTAACCTTATAGACTAACTAAATTGCACCTTATACACTAACTAAATTAGAGACATATAGCATACATTTTCATAAGCAGTGGACTTACAAAAGCATATGCTATACAGCTCTGATTTCATTAGTCTATAAGGTGCACATCTATCTTGCGCTCTACCAAAATACTAGCAACTGTAAACATGCATTGTCCCCAGTGACATGGACTAGGTGGTAATGGTGATGATGATGATTTATATTAGTTCCAACAGCATTTGGGACACTGCACCTTGGCACTGTACAAACACATAAATGATATTTCATGCCCTGAAGAGAGAACCAGGCAAAACAGATATGCCAGACGGAGAAAGAGATACACAGATTAGAAGCGACTTACCCAAGGCCATACCAAAAGTCAACAGCAGAGCTTTAGAAGAGAACCCAGAGCTCTCAAGTTCCAGTCCAGCATCCCAGCCATAGATTGTGCTGCCCTTTGTAACACAGATTCTCCATCTTTAGCTTCTACAGTTGTATCCATCCTGAACATATCTTCTGTGATGGAGGTAAAGGCCCTATAAGGCTAAATGCATCCAGGAGGAAAAGGGAAGAGTTATCTTTCTGTAGAAACGAGGCAAGAAAATTTGCACCCAGAATTACTAATCACTAGAGGAATCAAGCAGAATTAATCCCAGAAAATCTCTGGACCACTCAGCAGGTGGTGCTGCAGATCTGAATCAGATAAACAGGTTGAAGCAAACACCATAGCACCAATTAACTGTGATCTACGCAACCATCATTTCTGTGAAGCTTAAGGCCTCCGTGCTGCAGCTCTCCAAACACAACAGGTGAAATGATTCGTGATGTAACATTGCACCAGCTCTTCCTATTCACCAGGGGACCTTTCCAAAGCCTTCTGCATTGTCACTCCTGGGAGTCTCACAGGGGAAAGAGCAGCAGGTGGAAAGGTTAGTTAGATTTGCTAAAAGTGGTGACTGGTATTTTTGTTACTGCTCTACTCAAATCCAATCCAATTAAATTTTACAACTCTGGGAGCATATTTGCCAGTGTTCAAAGGGCTTCTGTCCAAGTCAGCTGGCACAGAATATTACCCTCCAGGATTCTATTTTTAATTGATCAAGCTCCAGTTGCTTGCTCAATACTGCACAGAGATATGAGCAAGCTCAGATTGTTTTCCAGCTTCCAGCATGGCCCCAGTATGGTGACTCAGCGCTTAACTGGGACCTTCAAAGTACATTCTCTGCATTCAGGGAGATTTGCTGGTAGAAGGCTCCAAGCTGCTCTCCTTTGCAGCCCCCACCCTCATATAGGTTCAGGTCCAATAGCACAGCTAAAACAGGCAAGGGTTGGATCAGGCATACCAAGACATAGGCCATATTGGAAGGCAGGGTGGCTCCGTAGGGAGCCACAGCTAAATTAGAACACTCCTAGACTTGCTCTGTTTTTGCCACTCCAGCTTCCTACAAAATCCCTATGAAGCCCAAAAGGTGGCTGGAAGCCACTTTTATCTGAGTCCTCCTATTCTTTGGCTGTATTAAACTCAGCTTCGCCTCAGCTCACAGCTGAAGTCAGTCTCTTTTCTCAAGGACATTAACAGTCCAGAACTAATAAACCAAAGAGGTCAGATGAAGAAACAGCATGTCAGACTCATACTTTCCCTTGAGTTTTAGTGGGTAGATTAATCTGAAAGACTATGCAGGAGGTATGGGATCTTACAGCAACGTAAAATGCAGGATAAAAGATGCAAACATTCAGAAATTCTGTTCAGCTCTTTTTCAAGAATCATGGTATGTAAAGACATGCAGACCATTAGAGTGTCCACTCTACTCTTCCAGGGCTGTGACAAAATCATTTCCTGCCTTGTATTTCCCCCAGTTGTGTTAAGTTTTGTTTTAAACAGCCCAAGGACTGGCACTTCTACTTTTTCTTGGATGAATGTTCTGCAGCTTTACAATTTTCGCCACACTTAAGCTTCCTCCCAGCCTGAGACTCATCCTTGTTCTAATGCCACTTTTCCGGGTTCTATCTGCTTGGATCCTCTCTCTCAAATCTTCCCCCTCCTTTGGGGATCTCCCTCCCTTTTCTCTCCAAATAGATCCCAATGTTTAGTGTGTACAAATGGCACAAAGCTGTAACACCAGGGACAAAACTGCTATGACAAGTCATCACTATGATAAACACTGGCAACAGGGAAATTAAATCCCCAATGCAACTTCCTAGGCAGCAAGAGGGAAGAGCATTTTCCTTATTTTCATTTTAGAAAACCCCCACAAAGGTATACAAGTGCATGCTACAGCAGGAGTGGCCTCTCGGCATCAGCCAAACACTTCACATCTTTATCCTTTAGGTTGCATACCAACCCAAGCAGCCAAGGACCTACCTATTAGAGAGACTGCTTCTGTGCTCATATCAGACCACACAGATGTAGGCAAAGGCAAAGGCATAGATGTGGTTAGAGTCTCTTTGTTAGGAAGATGGGGCTGTTTGCAAGGTGTTCTTCGTTAGTGCTCCGTGTCTTTGGAATTTGTTCCTTTCCCTGATCTGTACAGTAGTTTGCTAAACTACAGGACTGCAAGGTCTGACTTTTTTACCTGGTTCATGAGCACTGGGAAATTAATGGGAGTACAAAAAAAGGAGAGAACTCCAGTGGGATTATTGATCTTTGGCAGTGTTTTAGGGATGCGGAGCAGTCTCCTGGATAGAGCACTCAGGACATGAGTTCTGCCACTGACCTATACGGGCAAGTTACTTCACTACTCTCTGCTTCTCTATCTGCAAAATGGAAATGATACCAGCCTCTACCATAGCGATCTGAGGTATTCCAACAAATAACAGTCAAGGAACTAGCTTATCTAACTCTCACAATCATCTCTTTGTTGATCAAGAGCAATTAAGGAGGTCTGTTTCTTAAAAAAAAAACAAAAACAAAAACATGGATAGGCTGTATACAGTATTAAGTAGCTACTTTTAATTCTGGGTTAATGTAACATCAAAATAAAGCAAGGTCTGGAGAAATGAAATGCTCACTCTGCATAAGTAAAACCCAGGAGACAAAAGAGCCCAGGAGACAAGTTTCTCAGGCTGGTGCCTTGTAAAGGCTAAATAGGATAGAGGGGAAAAAAAGCCACTACAAAAAATAGGACCATGCTGGCTGTAAGTCCTGATAAAAATCAGTCAGTTGGGATTTGCCTTCCCCAAATGAGGGTCCTCTCCCCTTGCCACTCCTTCTCCCTTGCCAGGTGGAGGAAGGCAATCTTTTGCTTCTGTGCACTGAGACTTTCCCCGATTCTCCTTCCCGCTGACCCCTACAGTCCTCCAGAAGTGTGAGGCACTGATGAGTCTCTGATCTCCCATCACATCTGGGAAGCTTTCTCCGCAGACTTCCCGGAGAGCCCAAAGCCGGCGAAGAGCCCTGCTCCCCGGGCCAGGCTGGTGGTGGGGAGAGCCCTGCAAGGCAGGAGAGGGTTAAGCCTGGAGGTGCTGCTCAGATCACGGTACCTGCCAGGGGGAGGGAGCTAACGGGGCGAGGGGAAGGGACAGGGGCAGAGAGTTTCCTCGAGTCTCCTCCAAAGGGGCGCGGAGGGAGCGAGCCCACGGCAGCAGCAGGTGAAAGCCGGGGAAGGGGCGGGTGCAGCCGGCCAGCCGCACATCTGAATGGGAGTTGCCAGGCGGATCCAGGGATGGGGGGGTCGTAGGAGCCGGGAGCCCAGATTATAAGAGGACCGAGCCCCTTTCCCCAGCCCTCCCTCCCCCCTATTGCAGGCACCGAGGGGGAAGGAAGAGAGGCACCGGCTGAAGATGCAGCTGACTCGGTGCTGCTTCGTCTTCCTCATCCAGGGAAGCATCCATCTGCTGGTGAGTGACCGGCGGGCCGGAGCCAGAACCCGGGCCCGGCGGGGTGGGGAGGCGAGAGGAGGGCGGCTGGTTTAAAGTGCACCGATGATCCCTTAAGAATCGTCCCGTCCCCCCCCAATAAATAAAAGAGCCGCCCCAAACTTCTGGGATGTTGCAGCTGTGCGGTGGCAGGGAGAGGACTGCCGGGAGCGAAGGAGGGAGGAGGACACAGCTCCCGCTCAAGTCTTGGGGCTTAGAGGACTCCTCTCCCCCGCTCCGATCGCCCGGCAAATGCCCCCGGGCTCCCCCCAGCTGCAAGCGGCCGCGGGAGGTGGCCCCTAGCCGGAGCAAGCCGAGGAGGGAGGGGATCAGGGAGGGCTGCGGCTGAACTGACCTTGGCCGGGATCCCCCTGTGCCCAGCGAGCCTTTAAAGCCAAGCAAATGGAGAAGGTCCGAAATCACCACGGAAATACTGCTCCCCCCCACCCCAGGGTGAGGGGACCCCCTCCAGCTGTTCTCCAAGCCCGCTGTGCCCCCCGTGGCTGCACAGCCCTCGCCTGCCCTTTCACCCCCATGCCACACAGTCCCCAAGGCAGGTGTGAGCTAGTGCCTGTGCCCCCAGTGCCAGGGGGCCACAGGGACCCTGTCTCAGAACTGCAGGCAGATCTCGCAGCAGAGGCGGCGGCGGCAAGGGGCACCAGCCCTGGCGGAGGTATGGGTCTTGCTGCGCAAGGGCTGGGCATTTGCTTCTGCCATCACTTGGCACAGCTGTCCCCTCTTCCATCTATCCCTGTGCCCCACCATAGTGGCTCCAGCACAGAAAAGTGAGCAGGTAGGGGCTGGTCAGTGAGTAATGTTAGGTCATCCCTCAGCATGGGGGCAAGGCCCTGAGGCTAGTATTTTTATTGCAGCTTATGTTCCGTCATTAGAGATACTTCCAGTTGACCCCTACAATCCCCTTCTTCCTTCTGCTTCCCCACTTTCTTAACCTTTGAATAGAGGTCCCTGCGGTAGGAGTTGCTCTACCCCAAGCAGTTCACCTGACATTTCCAAAAGGTGCAAGGACTGGACTGCACTATTAATGAAGGCATAGGAACTCCCAGTCTCCCCCTAGGGAAAACCAGTAGTTCAGTGCAGAATGAAAGGAGGATGGTAGAGAGGGGAAGGAGCAAGCGAGAGAGAGAATGGGTTTTGTGGAAGGCGATTCCAAGCATGAAGAGAAGATTGAGAGAAAAGAAAGGTGTACGAGTGGAAAGGAAAAGAATGAGAAAGAGGAAAAGATGGGACAAGTGATGACATCTCTAGAGAAGTAGAAAGGCAGTGGAGAGTAAGAATGGGTAGAAGGAGAAGGAATCTACCTCTCATTCTCTCCCATTGTTCTCTTCAGGTGATCTGTGGCCAAGATGATCTAGGGGAGGATTCAGAACAAGGTGAACCTGATGCTCAAGACAGATCCCAAGTGCAGAAGAAGGGACTTCGGCAAGAGCTGCCCCAATTAGCTCAAGCCTTATTTCAGAACTCTACTCTCCTGGAGCTGGTCTCAAGTTCACAGAAATTCTGGGAAATGCTGGACAATGTATCTGAGCTAGACTGGGATCCACATGCTAGAGGACGCAGGGACTCTGTGACAAATACAGGCAAGTTTAAG